ATGTCATGTCATGTCATGTCATGTCATGTCATGTCATGTCATGTCATGTCATGTCATGTCATGTAATGTCATGTCATGTCATGTCATGTCATGTCATGTCATGTATGTATGTATGTATATAGTATATACACTTATGACATATATCCACCCTTAGCACGTGCACAAGACGATGCTCTTTGGCAATGCAAAACCTTTGCCGCTTTCACTGTGCTTCCTGCTCTTTGCCCAGGCACCAAGGAGGCCATCGAGGCTCTCCACTCCGGGGACTGCTTGCGGGCTGTGCCTAGGTTGTTTTCCTCGTCGAAGGAGGGGAAGAATCCACGGGCCATGGCCCAAAAAATACCGTTCTTTGCTTGCTGCCCGGACAGCTGGTGGCAAAATAAGGCCATGCATGTTGAGGCTCACCATGGCGAAGTGGCCCGTTTGTTGCTGCAAAGTTTGAGGGGACCAAGTTTCCCTGGCTACCTGCAGAACGTCGGGAGGTTGCAGGGTTCGAGGGCTTTATCTAACCACTCTAAGGGCATTGTTGCAACAGCTTCGATCATTATTAAGCGGACATTTTCAGCTGGAAAAGCACGTTTCATGGTCGATCGCTGTGCGTTTACAGCCAGTTACAGCCAGTTGAGTCCGACGGCCACGGGAGAGCCCAAGAAACGCGTGGTCCAAGCGGTTTTCTCTCGGTTTTCCCCGGTAAAGAGTCACCCCTATGGGCGGAGTCACCGTAGACTTGCAGGTGAACCGGCGGGTGCTGGACTGTAAGTTGACTCGTGGCTTTGAAGCACAGGCTCTACATGGCTCTACATTCCCTGGCAGACCATTCTGCCCTTGTGGTGGTGAAATAACAACCCAAATCTTGCCAGATTTCATGCACCGCCACCATTTCTGCCACCTCCAAGGTTGTCACATACTGCTGAGCCGATCCGGGTCGGCCAAGCTGTTCAAAGTGCAGAAGGGGCATCTCTGGTGAAAGCTGAGATCAAGACCTAAGATGAACCAAAACAATCTTGTGTGAGTGCATCTCTTTGGAGAGACCTTGAACACCTCCCCTCCCAGAAGCATAGCCAGAATGCTAGCACCAGCCATTTGACTAGCTTATGTATATATATGTAGGTCAGCACTAATGCCTGCAGACACCAGCACTGAAATCCAGAGAATGGCCATCCATCCATGTGTCTCAAAACTGAGGGCTCCTAGGCTCCTTCAGTCGAGAACGGATTCGAATGGAGGAGGCGCAGCCCTCGCGTGATGTCCGTCCTCGTTGCTTGAGACCCCCGCGGGGCACCCCGTGGACTCGGACTGGGGCCCCTTGAACGTCCCGGCTGATTTTGTGGCAGGTCGGTGGGAGGAGAAGTGGGTGGGTCATTGTAGAAATGCCAGCACTTATAGAATATGACTTCTATGTGGCACACTGAGAACACAAACGAACAGCTGCTCTTGAATGCTTTTGGCACAGGCCTTTGGGCTTGCCGTTTTGATGTCAACAGAGGTCTAGCAGGATGTTCAGCATTGGCTTGAGCTCTACATCAGCACCGCTAGATCGTTGCATGGATGTTGGCCGTCCCAGTGAGCTGAACGATATCTTCAAGAGAGACTAGCAACTAGTAGATTATATATATATATATAATTATTATATGGTACAATAATACTGTACCATTCACATGAATTGACCATATAAGGCCTTCCAGGGTCAGTCATGTTTTTTGTCCCAAGTCATTTGGAATTTTAGGGTTTAAAAGGTCAAATGCAGCACTCAGAACTCTGGGAAATACGGTCCATCAACTTGTGGTACTTGGACTTGGTGTCCTTTGCAATCGATTGATGTACCTTGAGCCCAATGATCTGTTTCTTGCAGCCATGTGTTTACTGCAGTTCTTTTTGAGAGAGCCCTACAAAGGCCAGACGCAATTGGCGCGTTTTGTAGAACACCACCCACCACTGCCGAGCAGTAGGAGCACGTGGTAGGTTTACTAAGGGTTTTTAGGTCGCTTGGCAGAAAAAGCAGCGCCGCGCCTGGTGCTTGGGTCGCGCTTCTTCGGGTGTTCTGGGCCGAAGCCGACGGGCCGCGCCGAAGTCCGAGCTCTTGAGCGGGCTCAGAGGGGTGGAGTTCCGAGCTTCGACCATGGCAGCGCTCCGCAGCGCCCGCGTGCTCTGCAGCGCCCGCGTGCCACTCGTCCAGCGGTGCTGTGTGCACCTGGGGCAGATCCGTGGCTTCGCGAGCCCGATCAAGTGCAAGGTGGGCTGGTGCTGCGAGGAGCGGAGCGGAGGGGGCCCGGAGGGGGCGAAGTTGGTCGAAAAGGGGCAACTTGGTCTGGGGAAGGCAATGTTGATCAATTTGACTGGTGACCTGTGGGTGGATTCGGCCAAAACAAGTCAAACCCCGACAAAGGTTTTCTGAATTGGCACTTCATTGGTGCTACCAAGCAAGGCACCGATTTCCCGGCCCTGCCGAGAAAAGAAGTGTGCGCTCGGAGACTCAGGAAACACCCACCAGTCACTAGCTGGTACAAGAAGTTCTTACGACCAGATTCTGCTGGTTCTTCTTCCTCCCCATCCAACAGGTCGATGACGTCCAAAGCGTCGGTCTTTCTTCGGGACCAAATCAATCCACCCCCCCCCGTGTCGAGACCATGGCGCTTCCACCTCAGGCTGCAGTGGCCCGAGGGGTAAACGACCTCCGCGTGGAGGAGGTGACAGTCGCTCCCCCGGGCCCACGAGAGGTGCGGCTCAAGGTGCCGTATTGAAGGGGGGATTGGCCTGGTCCGGAGTCCGGGGCGGTGGCGCCCACGCGCCCAGTGAGACGGTGTGGGTTCTTTTTGTTGGGGGAAGCTGTTTTTTTTTGTTTTTTGATGTTGAATGGGACCAAAATCAACACAGGGTCACAGGTGGTTTAGGGTGGTTCAACAGATGCGAGGTCCCAGGTTTTTTGTTCCATCATCTTCCGCTCTGTGAAAATTATTGGACCACCCTAGACAACTACATGGAATTAGTTTTAATGCGTTGGACGTGCCAATCTAGATATATAGGCAGGCACCAATTTCATTGGGTTTCTTGACAGCCTATGTGCAGGGTTAGAGCTGCTGGCGTGCCCGTGTTTGATGCAGTCCTCGCTGTGATTCTATGCCTCAGTGTGGTGGGTTGACTGCTGGTCGACCTTCATATAGAGACAACAAGTCTTTGGAGGGCTACCTTCCATGTCTTTTCACAAGGTTCTGTGAGGTTGAGTGGTTTGCAGCCCATGCTGTTTGAAGACTCTCGTGAGCCATGTGTGCCTGTTATGGGCAGTCCCACTAGACACTGGCCTTGTAGTGGCTTGTTACTGGCCGCATGCCGCACCATTTGGGCTTCAAGGGGCAAGATGTGCCTTGAAGAAAACTCGTAGCCGTTGTGTGTCCTGCCATATCCTTCGTCCATGCGCACCCTCTCGCGCTCCTTGGCAGAAGGATCCCCGACAGAGCGAGCTCCACGGAGCGTGGTCAGAGTCGGAGGTTCTGGAAGATTGGCTGAGCCACCGCTGACAGTACAGAAAGCAACACAGCTCACTATCAATCAGAATTGGAAGTGCTCCACCCTTCCAAGACATTCTTTGTTGTTAGGGGCAACCTTCGTTGTGTTCTAGCTCGTTGCGGCAGTCAGAGCTTGACTTGTGGCTTGAGCATAGAAATTCTCCGCTCGAGGTCTCCTTTGGACTGGCCTCAGCGCGCAGACTCTGCTCGCTGCAGTGCCAGAGGAACAAGAGGAGCCGATCCCGCAACAGCAGGCGCAGCGGAACGGGCTCACCGCGCAGGGAGCGGCGATGGGCGGTTAGAGGTGCCTTCTTGGTTTCGCTGGTCATTGGCCATGGACTGATTCTACTTACTCGTACTTTGTTTTGTGGACATGCGCCACCTCAGAACTCCTTGTGTCGTGAAGATAGTGGGAGGATTCCTTTTTTTTTTGTAGGTCTAGTCTTATCACAACAAGAAAGGGTTCGGGTAGCACATTTGAAAATTACCCTTTCTCCCTCACTGCAGCCATCAAGACCTGTGGTCAATGGCAGTTTGCTTCACATTTTCTGCATGAAAGGTTGGTTCAAAAGATCAGGCCAAAGCAGCCCGCATCCCATCAGCTGCCATCAGGCCGCCATCAGCCTTTTGCCTCTTCCTCCCCAGTCTCGTCCTTCGGATCCTGCTTCTCCTTCCGTTTGGAATGTCGGAGCGGCTGCTTTACCGGCAAGGTCGGTGGCGGAAGACCGGCAGCGGGCACAGGAGCTGGACAATCGGGCCCTTGTTGACACCAGGAAAAGCTGACATTCCAAAGCGGGTGCTTTCGTAGAGACACGCGATGCCGGCATTCCAAAGCGGGCGTTTTGGAAAAGATGCGCGAAGCTGGCACTTCAAAGCGGGGGGCTGGCATGCCAGGCCGGGCATTTTGGAAAAGGGACGCGGATCAAGTCCAGCACAACCCAGTCCAGAAGAAAGCCATCATCTTGCGGAAAAGGGAAATGCAGGCTCTGGCCTTCGTTGACGCGTCGCGGCGCCCCTGTCGCCACAAAGAACCAAGCACTGTCTTGGGCAAGAGGCAGCTTCTCAACCGACCTGAGGCAACCAGCCCCGAGCACGGATGAGAAGGAACAACAGAACAGCCCCACGAACCCTTCCACACGAACGCTTCAGGGGGTGAAACGTTTAGATCTGTGCCCGCTTAGCCGCCTACATTGGCAACACCGCTGATGGGCTTTTATTGAAAGAAAAGAAAGCATCGAGACACCGTTTCAAAAAGTGCTTGACACAAGGGCCCCTTTTGGACCCGTAGGGGGGTGAAAACTTTGAGACCCACATCTTCAAGTGGTGGTGGTCACAGGAGTGTCCAAGGGGGGTGGAACTTTCAGATCCATCCCTGTGAGCCGCCTATGCTGGCGACACTGCTGAATTTCTGAATCGAGAAACCATACCCTTGACATAAGGGGCCCTCGATTCCTAAGGTGGGTGAAACTTTTAGATCCACCATGCCTAGCCGGTGGTGGTTACGGGAGCGATCAAAGGGGCTGAAACTTGTGCTAACCCCATGGCCACTATCCACAGTACCCCATGGCGGCTCCGAAGGCCATGGGGTGAGCATTTTGAATGTAGGCATGCAGCTGGTCATGGGCAACTCATAGTTCAAAAGTTGACAGGCTACCGAAGCATGTTCTCACTGCAGTTGTTAAACGGTTGGAAAACCAGGACACTTCAACCTGCCTTGTTGCAATGCTTCTTGGCTTGGATGTTTGCCACGCTTTTGTGCTGTCATTGGGCCTCTGCAGCTGTTGGAAACATGAATGTCGTATCTGACCCGGTCCAAGTCCGAGTTCTATTTCGTGTCCTGCCAAAGCCACCACTGGCCAGCCGCCACTGGCAAGCTGAGAACTGCTAAAGCTGCTAAAGCATGTAGCCATCACAGGGTTGAAACTCTAAGATTGCAATTCCTTTTTGTTCCTATTAGTATCTTTTTTTGAAACATGAAGATGCTACTGATTTGATTTATCACAGGCTCTGATTGAAGTGCTGGACATGATGTCATTTGACAAGTTCTGGGTGCTTGCTTTGGCAAGAGCTGCGCTGCAAAAGTCCAATGAGATGAGTCTTTTAGTGCGTGCAAAGATGGGTGTTGGGTTGCGCTAAGCCCCCTGGAGGCTGGGTATTTTTTTGTTATGGGGGGTTGGGTCACCATCGAAAAATAATGAACACTGGCAACCCCATTGCCAAGCAGGATGTGTCTTCCGACCAACGATGGAGTTCTTGTTTTGATACATGTGTGTGACTGTGCTTGACACGTGGCTGGCCAGGAAGTGAGTCCAGAGGTCCGAGAAGACATCACGTCTGAGAGAGAAACCTTCATCGACAAGATCTCAGGCTGAGGGGACCCTGAGATCCGTTTACAGCACGTTTGCCATCATGGAGTTGTGTACTCGGAGCAATAGTGTCCCCGTGCCGCTGAAAAAGATAAGGGCTTGCTTGACCAGCTTCCGGCTTCCCACTTGAGCAGCAACTGCTTCGGCCACAGAACATGGAAATGCGTCGGTAAGAGGCCGGGGCCGGGCCTTGGTTTTGGTCCACCTCTTCCGGAACATGTTCGCAGCCCCCGAAACAGCGTGGGGAGCCGCTGCTCAGCGTTTGCCCCGGGGGAGGTATCTTTGTCACGCCGAAGAAGTGGGTCCATGTCTCGAAGGCTCGCGGCTCCAAGTGCCATGGCTGCTGCGGGAGTCCTGGGACAGGGCACCGCAGGATGTGGGTGGCAAAGGGATCCAAACTGCATCAAACTGCAATAGACTGTGCTTCAAGACGCCCTAGAAAAAATCTTTTGGGGTCTTCTGCATGTTGTGGTGGGGAAGGTTGGGCAGCACAAGTCCTTCGTGAAGCGCTTGATTTGGGTGCCGATGGTCCATGTTGAAGTGTGAGCCTGGTCTGGAGGGAACATAGCACAAACCAGCCAATCCGATGCCAGATGCCTGAAACTAAGATGCTCTGCTAAGCTGCTAAGGCATGGCCTGCTGCCGTACTTCTGTACTGACAAGGCGTGAAGCTTCAAGAACGGGCATGCACATTTCAGGCCGCCTTTGTTTGGCCTATGGTACATGTTCGGTCGAATAGGTGACCATCAACAAAGCACCCCTACAATGCTCTTCATTGCTTGGAATGCGACTAGTTGCACCCGTAGGCAAAACAGCCCTAAGCCTTGTCAGCAGATGTTGTGGTCAGAGGAGTTCTTGCCCGTGACCCTGACAAGAACTCAACGATGGTCTGATGGTTTCCTTTTAGACTGGATGAGCGAACAGAGTGCTGCCGCCTTCAGAACCTTTGGAGCGATGATACCGTGGTCTCGTGCGACTGCTGCAGCTTGGTGGAAACGAGACGCCAAGAGAAGGGTCCCGAAACCAGTGGGTTTCATCATTTACTTTCTCTTCTGCCAGGCGGCCTTCCGCCCACCTCTCCACATCGAAAATAGACATCGGCAATCATGAATAAGCTTTGACCAGAACCATGTCACTTGCTCTATTCTCAACAGCTGCCTGAAGGGGTGACCACCATGAAACCTGCCAATGAAACCGGCTTTCTTTAGGGATCTCCAAGAGAACTGGAGGGTGAAGCAGACCGACGGCCCCTTGTACTGGGAGAACTCAGCAGATGTTTGGAGGGCTGATGTCCGGCTCACACATGGCTCACACGAGAGCCATGCTGTAGGTCTTATTCTTTCGCAAGGCGTTCAGATGATCACCGTCCGCCGACCTCAGGTAGCGATCATCTCACTGGAGACCCACGCTCACAAGCGGCTCTCCTCTACCAGAGCGCCAAGGTGCAACGAAAACAAGTGTTGTCAGATGCAAGCATGTCAACCAAGACATTCATTCGGTCGCACCTGAAGAAGAGCTGAAGAAATCGATCAATTCCTCAATTCCAGACCGCCAAAACTCCTTCTTTGGACAAAAGCATTGACTCCAAACCCACTTGATGCCACCGCCTATGCATGTCCACAGGCACAGGCGCCAGCCTTCAAGCGCTGCTTGGCGCCTGTGGACGGACTACGGGAGTTGGGTGGATGTCCTCCGCAACATTTGCCATGGATGTGAGTTCGGTGTTTGTGCATCCAACATGCCCCAATCACCTGGTGTCTGCTGTGAGTTCTGTTTGTGCACCACACAGAAGTACAGCGCTGTTCGTCCAAGGGCTTCGGGCTTTCTAAGTTTCGTGTTACTTACAGTAGCTGTGTAGCG